ACGCTTCTGTCCCACCAGCCGGCTCCTACTGGTCTTAATGGTGTTCAGCGGTGTGCTCATCCTCTCGGTCAGCATCCTGGGCTTTCAAGGTGAGGGCGTCACCTGGACGGAAGCCGAGACACGTGGCTTGGGCAAGGCCCTAAGGGAGGAGGGGAAGGGGAGGCAGAGCCCGAAGCTGGAGAAGGTGTGTTGCAAGACAGGAAGTCGACGGGAGAAGAGAAATGTGGGTTGGTCCATGCGAAACCCCAAAGCTGCTGGGATGGTTCTCAACGGAGACAATCGTTGTGTTTTTGGTTTTGATCTGAGTATTGGGTGTTGTAGGCATCGGCCAAAGCGAGGGGGCTGTTGCACATCATCTAGCCCAACCCCACCTATAAGTAGTCCTTGATTTACAATCATAATCGAGCCCGTAGTTTCCGTCCTAATTGACAATGGATTTGAAGAAGAAAAATGTGGATTGGTCCATGCAGACACCTATGGGATGGCAATATATTCAAGCAACTGCTGTGGGTTTGTTTGTTTTTTAACCTGGGTTTCAGGTGTTGTAGGAATCTCTCTGTATAAGAGCGAAATGCATCATCATAAAATCTCCAGAACCGTCAAGCCGACCAACTTGAAATTGGGCACGGATGTTCCTCTTAGCTTCTAGGGGCTCTGTTCTGTTTGTAAATTTCTGGCCGAATACAAAAACAGTTAGATAAACTCTACCAAGGCTTCCGTACAAAGTTTCTTTGTTGGATCATAAGGCATCCTCAAGGTATAACTCACGGTTACGTCGAGATACATCTAATGTGCAGTTGAGCTAAGCCACGCCCCGGGCTCCTTGCTGTCTCCTTCTTGCTCACCCACCAAATACTCTTTCAGTTTCCAAAGAGCCCTCCACCCTCTCCCACACTTGACAGGACGCTAGCCAGATGAATGCTGGGAGGCGGAGGCAGAATTTATTCCCCTCCTGGTTTTCCTCCCCCAAAACTAAGTCACCCCACTCCCTGAGATCTGCTTCCTCCTTCCCTCTCTTTTACTCCAGATGTTCAGTTCAGCAGGAGTCTCCAGGGAACTGAGACAGGCGTGCAGAATATTACTCAGACGATCAAGGAGGAGCTCACCAGCCTCAAAGCCAAAAGTAAGGAGCCGGAGAGGAGGGGGAGGGGAGAGAAGCAGCATGCAAGCCCCCCCCACCCCTTCCTTCTCCCCCCCCCTCCAGCCCCATCTCCGGGGCGACACAGGGGTGGGATTCAAATTTCTTCACCACCGGTTCTGTGGGCGTGGCCTAATTGGTGGGTGTGGCTTGATGGTCATGTGAGTTTCATGGCTTGTATGTAAATAGTGTAAATATTTTTTTTTATTTTTTATTTTAAAAAGAGCAATTTTTCCCCAAGATCAGGCAAAGCAGGCAGGCAGATTGAGTTGCTCGCAGAATCACAGATTCACTCAGAGGTTTACCATTCTGCTATCGGCTACCCGAGTCTGCACTGAAAAATAGGAGGTTCAGTCCTAAGGAAGGTTCAGCTCTGCTTTTAGGTTAGCTATAAAACAAGAAATCCAACCGTTTCCCGCTTCCTAGCTAATCTAAATCTCCCAGCACAGTAGTACAGATGATGGTTGGGGGAGGAAAAAAGAAAGGAAAAATAGCAACTTAGCCGGTGTTCTTCAGAGCTACTGGTAGCACCGCATCCTTAGGGCTACACTTTCCCAGGTGGGATATGGAATCCAGTGGCGGGGGGGGGGGGCGTTAGATGGGGCCATCTTTCTCTTGGGGAGGGTCATAAGGAGGGGTGTGATTTCTGCCAAGGGAGGAGGGGTCCTCCTTCTCGGCTCAGGGACCGTGGGAATGGGCCGCCCACCCCGCTCCAACCGGGCCCTTCTTCTTGTCCCCTTTAAGGGAACAGCACTGCGGGGAGACTGGAGAAGCTGAAGAAAACATTGGAAGAGGAGGTCGATAGGATGTTGCACGGTCAGGATTTTTCAAGCCTTCTTCCAGCTGGGGTGCAGTTGTGTGTGTGTGTGTGAGAGAGAGAGAGAGAGAGACTTGGGGTCCCTGCAGAGGAATAAGGGAGGCTCTCATTGTTGTCTTCCTCCAGCGTCACAATCCCGGGGACGCAACCGCTGCTTTCAAAGTCAGGAGGTTTCTGGGAGAGGATGCTAGCAGCTTTTTTTTTTTTAAATTAAAAGGCAGCTGCTTTCATGAGCCAGCTCCCCTGGCACCTGTGACCGCCCCAGCCAACCTGTCTCCCCCCCCACACAAACCCTTTCCCCCCCCCCCATTTAATCCCTTCCATCAGCCTAGCCTCTCCAAGCACCAATAAAGGGAGCTGTTGCGGTTCCAGCTTCTCATTAAAGCACCCACTTCCGAATCAAATGCCTTAGTGTGTGTGTTTTAAGCCATCAATTAACACGTTGTTTTTCAAACTTGGCCACTGGAAGCTTTGCTGGGGGGGGGGGGACTTCAACTCCCAGAATTCCCCCAGAATCTTCCCAGAATTCCCCCCAGCCAGCATGCCCCCCCCTCCCCCGATGAAGGGAGCTGCCGATACTTATGAAAGCAGCCACCTTTGAATCAGAGGCCTTAGTGGTTTATTCGACTGCCCTGATTAATACGGTGTTTTTCAAACTTGGCCATTGGAAGCTGGGGGGGGGGGGGGGCGGGAGGAGATTCTGGGAGTTGAAGCCCACCCACACCTTCCAGTTGTCGACTTTGGACAACACTGGACAGCACACAAGGGCGGCCGCCATTTTAAAAGTACTTTTTTTGTGGTCTGAGATGGCGGTGGGGAAGGCATCAGGGCAAGGTTGAGGTGGGGGGTGGTCTTTGCCCCATGCGTGTGTGTGTGTGTGTGTGTGTGTGTGTTTGGGTAAAGTTTCTTTCTATTTCCAGCTCTTCTTCTTCCTCTTCTTCCAGTGCTTCATATGACCCAGACTCAGATGGTCATGCTAGAACAGAATTCCAGGGCTTTGCACTGTGAAATTGTCGAACTGAAGAGCAACGGTAAAAAAAACCAGACCGGCCGGATGGTCTTTATTTTATGATTGCTCTCCTCTCCTCTTCTCTCCCCCCTCCCCTCCCTTCCCCTTCATTTCTTCTCTTTTCTCATCTATTCTTCTCTTCATCTCTTCTCTTATTTTTTCCTCCCCTCCCCTCCCGTCCTCCCCTCCCCACTCTTGTATTCTCTATTCTCTTTATCTTCTATATCTATTTATCTTCTATCTATCTATCTTCTCTTTCTGTCTATCTATCTATCTATCTCTTCTATTTATATCTTCTATCATCTAGCTATCTGTCTATCTATCATCTATCTATCTATCTATCTATCTATCTATCTATCTATCTATCTATCTATCTATCTTCTCTTTCTGTCCGTCCATCTATCTCTTCTTTTTATATCTTCTATCATCTATCTGTCTGTCTGTCTGTCTGTCTGTCTATCTATCTATCTATCTATCTATCTATCTATCTATCTATCTATCTATCTATCTATCTATCTATCT